TTTTCGGAAGGCGCCATCCGTTACCCTGGAGATGTCTGAGGGCGGCAATCTCTCTGGTAGACCGTCCATCAGCATCTCGTGGATCAACGCAATTTGCAAGGAGCTGCTGGTGCTGTGTAGCATGAACGAACACGGAAGATTTGCGATAGGTGATACCATGTTGGCTGGCTCGGCGGAGGGGGTGCGTCAGTTACAGTAAGCCAGTGGGAGATGGAAATGCACGAAAAGCCTGGCTGGTAGCTACTGGCTGGACACCACCGACACTGGATGGGCTAGTAAGTGTTTGTTGACGTGTGCGATTTCTCTTGAGGAGACACCCATGTGTTCAATAGTCTTGTGCGCTCAACATCGCCCAGATACTGCTGTGATCGGTCCGTGTACTTTGTTGGAAGGGGTGGCTGAGGATGCTGCAGATGGGTTGGTGGTGGGACTGCATGTTCATTGTTCTTCGCAGTTATTTCATCCATCTCATTTACAGTAGTCTAGGCGGTTGCATAGGATAGTGTGCTACTGCTGTACGCGATAGTTCACCAGTACTTGCGTGTTGAGCGTGTGGAAACTTTCGAAATACCCAAATTCGCGTGTGCACCATGTTGTAGTATTCGCCCTTAATGTTGTTGTCCTTATGTTGGAGGAGCCATGCAGGACACAGAAATTGCACACAGCGTGCTAACGCTGACCAAATTGGCTCTGTTCATGAAGCTTGTTTTAGGCGATGTGCCTGGATTTGAAGAGGTGTGTTTGTCGGGCAAGGTCACGACTACACTACTCTATATGACCCAGTCGTAGTAGATGCAGTATGGCGAACTCGCCCCGTATTTCGAGGTCATGTGCCAGATACTCCACTTCCAGTTGGAGACGTGTCTGTGTCATCGTGCAAGAGGGTGGAGGGCTCGTTGGGCACCGTGTTTCGCAGCAACGGTTTTGCTTGTTCACGTTCGCGTTGATAGAAAGTCAGCAAATTCTATCAAGTGAGGAAATTGCGTATCGTGAGCGACCATTTACTTGGGGCGTTTGACTGTTCTTCTACATTCCGTCCCAACGTAGTTGTCGATCTTGGAGGGAGGTAAGTGCGTGTATGTTTGTTGTCCTGCTTGCTGCTGCTGCCGCTGCTGCTGCTGTTGTTGTTTTGCTACGGTCAGCCTGTTTTGCGTGCAACGTCTGTTGTTGTGTTTGGCTTCATGGTCTTGAATCAAGCGGTTGGTTTTCAGTCTATCCGTTGTGCCTTCATCGCGTGTTTGAAGCGATTGAGAGGCGTGGGTACATGTTGCTCATCTCGGCCACTCGAGGGTGATGCATTCTGCACGCGGCGGCATTGCCAAGGCGGGCTGATCAACGTAGGAAGAGGTCGAAAAGATCTACGAGCAGACGCATCTTATCGTCAACGAGCGTCCCTCACACAAAACGCGTTACCGGAAAGGGTAGAGCAGCCAAGTGTGGCCTGGCTCCGATGTGTTTGCTCTCCAACCTGCCCGACCGGGACTGATGCGCATCAAGCGAGGACGTGATGTTATGCGGCAGGAACTGCTGCTCCGAAACATAGGAAACGGTTAATTTTCTTTGCATCAGGTATGCGCACACTTCTTCGCAAACCGGCTCCCGCTAAAAATACGCGCGGTGGGTGACCTTGCCTTCCTCTATCTACAGACACTAGATCATCCGCAAGATCTTTTATCCTCAACGTTGGCAAGTATGCATACAATTGACACCTGACAGGAAATACTCGTATTACTACTGCTGTGGCGGTCGCGGGCTTGTACTGGTCTGCTCCTATGGCTCCCATTTGTCGTCCCCCTCCAGCACACCGCTCCACCAAGCCGTTTTGTCTCGAGCAGCTCTTCGTTTCTTCACCGTCAGCGCCAGCATCTTCCCGTCGTCGTTCTCGTCTTGAAGAAAAGAAATAAATCGTTGTAACTACCAGGTGTGAGTGGGCGATGGCAGCAACATGACTCTTCTAAAATAGAGCTAGCGTGTTGCGATGAGGGCAAGCGCCACAGCACTTGTATAAGCCTATCGCAAGCTCGAACCATTGAACCCATTCAAGAAGGCGTGGAAGCAACGAGTGTGAAAAGAACAAAGAATGCCACAAGCAATAAGACCGGGGGGCAACAACGGGATGTCCCTAGTCTCACTCTGGTAAAAAGACGGTTCATCATCAAGCAACGCCAGTGATGCACTCAACACATCAGCGAGTCTAACTCCGCCAATGCAAATCCATGGTAATCATCCGCAAGGTCAAGACGACGGCAGCTGGCAGCAGGAACACAAACTCACCCAGCATCCACACGGAGTCGAGGGGGCTAATGAGGCCCTTAAATTTGCCCTCCAGGGGCTCAAAGTCCGGCCTGTTCGAGAAGGAAACGTGTATCCGGTCTCCCGCGGGATCGAGATCGAGAGTGGTCTTTCGTTTTGTCACGTCATCTGGGACGGGGATCTGCAACTGGATTGGTTCACAAAAGAAACAACACAAAATAGCACAGAAAGCATGTACGAAATCGTCTCAAAGGTCGACAGATGCCATGCGATGGACCAGTGCAATCTTTTGACGACGCACGGTGTCTGTTCTGACGTTACTGTATCTTACCGATGTGCGTCGTTGTAAGCTGCCGGGTTCTCAAGGCGCGGCATGGCCACTATCACAGCTCGCGCAGAGAAGAACGCAACAACAAGTGGTGGTGACGATACCGCCATACCCCTAAGAACGACACGACGCGGACCTCTATTGTTTCGGCGTTCTGCTTCCAGCTGTAGCGCGGCGTTTCCCCTTTGAAGCGGATGGTAGGGCTCTCCTCTTCGCCCTGCAGCAGCTCGTGCCAAAACTCGTACATACCTTTTCCGAAAAGAAGCAAGCATACAGTGACCGTGTTAACCGTGTGCACAGAGTGCCAGCTCACTTCCACCGTTACAGTACCGCAACAATCTACTACTACAGTGAAACATCAGTTATTTTACGTACGACGTACAAAATCCGGGCTGCATCGCAATGAGAGGAGCTTAAGCCTGTTCGAATTACCTGGCGCGGTCAATTTCACGATCTCCAGGTGGATGTACGGTTCGTTGAACCGACTGTGGATCCGAAAGCTGCAGCTTCTTGCATCCACATCCCCAGGGAACACGCCCTACATCCATCGGCGCAGAAATCAGACGCGCACACCCAGGCCCACGAAACGCGTGATATATAGGTACAGCGGGAGACAGCAGCAGTGTCGGCAACAACCAGCGAGAGCCCACAGAAAAAGTGCGATAATCGATCAGATCTAAAACAGTTTTGAAAGACCGACGCACACCAATGCCGCGTTCTTGCCATACCTGTACGGACCCCGTAGATTTGACAGCAAATTCATGTGTAATGCCACAACATGGTGCTTTCCGCCAGACAACATCAATACTTACCCAAACATAGTTGGGGTTATAAAGCAGTTTGAGCAAAAGAAGACAGGCCGACATTCAAGCAGCTCAAAGACCTCAAATGTGTCCCTGTGAGGAGACGAACCGGAGTGTACCCCTCAATCGAAAAGATGTTCGATAGAGCGCACACTTGAAAACCGGTATGCATACAAAATTAACATTCAAGGGCCAATCGAAACGAGCAGCCCATAGTCTAAGCCGTACCGTTATTGCCCCGAAGGACTCGTCCGTCTTGATGGCCACCTGCATCTGGTCCTTCTCCACCACGAGGTACAGGTCCTCGTCTCTGCAGGCTTTCAGCATCGGGATCTCCACGTCGAAAGTGGTCTCCGTCTGTGTCCAGCGGTAGCGGTGGCACTGGCGCTGCATCGGCAAATCTCGGAGGTTGTGCCTGAGTTCCGTGAGCCTGTCGATGTCCTCCTGGCGCTTCCGCGTGTTTCGCTTTTTGGCTCTTTCGTAGTACTCTCGCTCCAACCTCTGGTTTCAGTTTCGGCGTACGCGGGGTGGGGCGGGGGCGGGGGGGGGTGTATTCATAGTCGTGCATGACGTAGTCGTTAGACCATTGACCTCGCATCCCTTCAAAGCCGGGACGGAGCACGCCGGGTTCTCACCGGACCAGGCTCTCACATCACCGAGCGCGAAGCGCCGTGAGATATTCGGCGAGTCGCATGAAGGGTGCGCTGCATCCTGCTAAGGGTGTTCAGCATCTTGTGCTTACTTCCTTGTGTACGGATGACAGCTGCGTATGACTTAATTTATTTTCTGGTGCTTCACTTCCACAGACAGTTGTAAGCACTGTGTAACTGCCTCGAGGGTGCTTGACCATTTTAACACAACGTGGTGCGATCATCCCCCTTGCGCGGAGTGGGGCGGGAGCGGGATTATTCGGAAAAATAAATACGAACACAGAAATATGACCACAGTCGAACAGGATGTGCCGGGGTTTTTGCAGTGAGTGGAGGTGAACCGGCTGGGTACTGGGCTTATTTCGAGTATATTTACGCCTATACACGGGATGGTATGAAGAAGCAAAATACTGCTGTGGCGACTTGTATTGTAATTGTACGTGCATGTGGTGGTGGGGTGCAGCAGTGCCAACTGACTGCAACCAATCTAGGCCTGTCCTCCATCGGCCGCGGCCGAAAGAGCCGATTTCTGAAAATTTCGGCCGGAAAACGGCCGCAAAAAAAAACGGCCGATTTTGCAAACAAAGTGGCCGATTTTGCAAACAAAGCAGCCGATTTTGGCCAGGGGATAGCCGAATGTCAGTCGGCTACGGCCGATTCCTAGTCGGCTTCGGCCGATTCCAAATCGGCCACGGCCAATGTCCGATTTCAATGGGCCACCCCCCTCCCCCCCCTCCCCCCCCCATAAATTCAATGTTGTGGGGAGTCCTACGTACCTACCTACCCTTTTCGAACATTTTTTCACTTGCGCGGTGGTCTCCGCGTCTCCGCACTTGAAAAAAAAAAAACACAAAAAACTTCCAGCTTCCAGCTCGCCCATAGCTCGCAGCTCGCAGCACGCAGTCCGCACACGGTAGCACGTGGCACACACACACACACATGAGGGGATCCAGCACACAGAAGAACATGCTCGTAGAGTACAGCGATGAGGAGGAGGAAGAGGAGGAGGAGATAAGCAACAGCGGGGATGAGCAGCGCCAGATATTTGGCCCTGAACCCGCGCCGCTGCAGCAGCGCTCTCGATGGAGCGACAGCAGTAGCGGCAGCGATGAAGCCAGCGACGATGAGGTGGTGGAGGTGGCAGGACCAGCTGCCCGAGGGAGAGGGAAGGGCGCAGCAGGAGAAGCGGACCCGTTCCCCCCGCTGCCAGTATCGATGCAACGGGATCTGACTGACTGGCTCAAACCTTCGGAGTCCTCCACCAAGGCGCGTGAGAGAGCGGCGGCGAAAAGGGCACGTGATCGAGCGGCAACCGTCGTTGACAACGCCAAGACTTCAACGGCACCTGCCAAGAACGCCACGATCACTAGAGAAAGGAGCTTTGTGTCCAACGAGAGCCGTAGAGAGGCGTACCACGCCAACAAGAAGCCCAAAAGTGGAGCGAAACCCTTCAAGCACAAGCCCCAGCATAGAGTCTCACCCTTGGATCGAGTCAAAGAGTTCCCGGGCCAAGGGTTGGTTCGCTTGGACAACGGCAAGCTGGGGTGCTCTGTCTGCAACTTCAAGGAGTTACAGCTCAAGTGGAGCAACGTCAGGGACCACTGCAGGAGTCATAGGCATACGGTGCGGCTGGCCGCAGAGCCAGCGAAGAAGGCTGAGGACGAGGTGAGAAATGGGTAGGGAGTCTACTGTCTGTCTGTCATCTGATTTTTCAAAAAATTAAAATTTTCAGCGGTTGTTGTTGTTGTTGTCTTCACATTAAAAACCATCCCGGTCTCTCTATCCAGTACCTCCTTCTGTCTCAATCTCTCCGTACTAATCCATCACTTGACTCGGCCAATTTCCGTGGTCACAGGCTAACGTACCTAGAAAAGGTATACCAAAATAAAATGGACCCCAAGGGTCAGCAGAGCGATAAAATACAAGAAAACAAAATATAATCAGAAACAAATAAAATAAAATAAAATAAATAATTAGACTAGTG